GCAGCGTATTAAATGTCTTACATAGTAATCAAAAGTGTAGTACCGCCAGACGAGTGTCTTCGGTGTCCTTGGAAGAACTGTAGACTGATGATGGTCCAGAACATCGAAGAGGGCCAGCAAGCCAAAAGGATGGAAGCAATATTAAAGTCGAGAGATAATAAGAATAAACGAGAAACTTATTTTAGTCATTTAGGAGGGAAAATCTCAGCTCCCTCTACAAATGCCCTTCCACCCACAAAATAAGCCCGCTTATTTTCTTTTCTGGCCTTTTCCACGACGGGCCATAACTGGTTTCTTCGTTCTCTATCTGCTTGAGACAGATCCTCGGATATTTTCAGGTTGTTATTTCTAAGGAAAATTGAATCCTTAGCAGCACGCCAGACCGCGTCGCGTTGAAAACGAGAGGTAAACTGTATGATGATTCCTCTGGGCTTGCTGTCGTTCAGCCGTTTTCGACCCAGGCGATGAACGGTATCCACGGCATCCGGGAGTTTGTCTTTCGCATCTGGCAGAAGCTGCTGGCAAACGTCGATGATCTTACCTCGGACATTTTCTCTCTCACTTTCAGGGACCCCGTGAACTCTAAGACTCCAACGACGTGAGTAAGCTTCAAGGTGCAGAAGCCGTTTCTCCTGTTCATGCCAGTTAAACTCGACTCTCTTGGCTAGTGACTCAGTCGCACCGACTTTGACTTTCAGATCTTTTACTTCGGCACTCATAAAGTCAATCACATCCTTCACTCCAGAAATCTGTCTGGTATTTTCGTTGATTGTTTCTTTCATACTAGCGATCACACGTGAGTTTTCCCCCACCATCTTTTCCAAAGCATCAGAACGATTATTAATCAGCCTCGAAAGCTCCCCGAGTTGTGAGAGGATGGCAGTTGTGTCAGCGCTCTCGGCCTTGCGTTGTTTGATGGCAGGGGACTTACCTGGGGTTTCTGGAAGGCAGGGAAATTCTTCCTCGCACAGCATGAATTCTGCAGAATCAGTATCATGGCTCATGTAGTCATGCATGTTCTCTGTCAAAAGTTCTTTTCGCGCTTGACTTGTCTCATTAGCATTTTTGTTAGCATTAGCAGCAGCTTGAGTTCCATTCCTACTTTTTCTTTTTTCGGATTTTCCCATTTTGACAGCTACTACAAATTTAACACTGGTTAAATGTGATCTGGTACAAATTAAGAGTTCAAAAGCTTTTCTAACTGCATTACAAGACAATATAAACAGCTGAGTTTGCAGAGCTCATCAACATGTGTCTGATCAGAGCGCCATCTTGGACCTAAAAAAGTTTTTAACTTCTGCTGCAAGCAACGGACCAACGCGACGCGCCCTTAACATGCTTTCTCAGCGTCTAACCCAATAAGGTATGCACGTCATATATATGTCAAAATTAAAGTCCTTAACCATAACCTATTACATTTAACGAATCAAATCATATACACAAACATACAATACAAATAATGAAATAATTCAAAACCCACAAACAATAAACACACCACATCAGGGTTCGTTACACAGACAATTCTGATTTCAATTTGTAATGATAAAATCAACTTATAATGTATGCACATGCATTTTAGATATTTTTCTGTTAGGTAGTTTCTCACGTTCAGATTCTCTGACATGGACGGAATAGACAGACAAAATAATGCATAATAAAGCTTTTTTTGTGAGGCACCATTGACTTCCACAATATATAAAAAGTAATATGAAGTCAATGATACCCCACAACTGTTCGGTTACAAAAATTCCTCAAAATATCTTTTGTGTTATATATATAGAATAATGAAATTCATACAGGCTTGGAGCAACTTGAGGGTGAGTAAATGATGACAGATTTTTAGTTTTTTGTCAACAATTCCTTTAATTAAGAGTCACAGTTTTAATAACTTCAGTTAGAGCGGCATGATTCTGGATACTTTGAGAATCCCAGTTTTTTTTTGTTTCAAACAGACATCACAATTCTGAACAGACAACTAAAAATAAAATGTAATTTACTAGAAGTTCTGACAAAATGTTAATGGCTGCAGTCTATTTAAGATGCTTAAAATTAATGATTAAATGACTCATTAATAGATAATTAACTTGTTTCATTACCGGATGAATCTGGGTTTTTAATGAATCTCTTAAATGAATGATTCAGTGACAAATACATGTGTTTAACAGTCACTTGTCGGCAACTACTGGTGTGACGTCACTGATATAATCTTTCTCTGAAGTGTCAACTTTGTTTCCGAATGATTTGCTCTATTTTGATCGCTACTGTAGACATCAGTGTTTATATCCAAACTAAACTTTTATCCCAGTACTTCTGTGATCATTTGAATAATTCTAACACAGAAAAAAAAAATGTGTTGTTGAAAAACTTTGTGACACTGTTTCATACCTACACCTACACTGCCCTCTCTGTCTGGATCAGTAGGTGCATTGACATTGTTTTATGCTGCTAAATTTCCGACACATTCTACCTTATTTTATTTATTCTCAGGTTAGGTAAAGCAAGTCAAATCTGTCCTATCTCATAAGCATTCAAATTTTCATACTTACAAAATAGATCAGAGAAGACTTCTCCGTGGTCTGTTCTGCTCTAGTCTAGAAATCAGAGTCTTTTGGCAGGCGAGCTTCTTAGTTATAGTTAAGTATAAGTTTATTGTATATAGGTTAAGTACCTTACAAACAAAATACTAATATATAAAACAGAAATAAAAACAAAGATATATAATTAGCAAGCTCGGTTGTTTAGCGGCATCAATGGCAAGGCCGCCGGCACCGGAGAAGCTGTCACACAGAACCAGCATCTGATTTCCTCGCTGCTCTTCACTCCCTTACAGACAGCAGGTGGATTCCAATGTCTTGTGATGTCATGAGGTCTGGAAATTCCCTAAGAAGCTGCCTATAAGAAGCCTTCCATTTTCGCATATTTCTCCTCCGGGACTTTCTTCTTTGATGCCTCGTGATCTGCGTCTGTAACACAGCATTCTACGGTAACATCCCTTTTCTTTATTTGTCTTTAGCAAAGCTCTTACTAATACATGTTTCATTTCTAGCTTTACTTTTGCTAATATATGCTATAAATATTTGCTGAATAAATGCTTTAAAACAATTACAGTATAACGTGTGGTGTCTTTCTTAATAAACCACTTTCCTGATAAAAATGATTATAATATAATGTGTAGTGTCTTTCTTAATAAACCACTTTCCAAATAAAAACGAATACAATATATGCGGTTATAATACAAAGGTATTACATTGTAGCGAATCAGCTCAAAGGGGAAATAGGAATAATTAATCATAACTAGTTATAATTAATTATAAATATTTAGATCCACTAAGTATTTACTTGAGCACTTTGCACTTTCTAAAATCCACAGTAGTGGTAAGTGTGCACGCTAGACTTTGCGCACTTTCTGAAATCCTGTACGGTAAGGGTTACGTGTTCCCTTTCTCTGAGTTGGTTAGACCCCGGTACCTTGGGCTCCACTCAACCAGTGTGTCTCTAATTTGACACACTTGGAAGTATCTCTCCCCTCACCATTGAGGGTTACTATGAGCATGCTGCTTCCTATCGAGCGCCTGGGTTCACTCCGTGGGCTGCTCTCGTGGTAATTTTTACCCTTTTTCCAAAGGGTTGCCTATGAGTGCGCTTTCGGAATTCGGAGTTCTCCTCTCACGTGAAGGCTTTGTGCACTTTCTAAAATCCACATTGTGGTAAGTTCGCACACTAGTTATTTGCGTTCTTTTCTAAAATCCTATATGATGAGGGCTTTGCACGGTTATATCATGTCCTTTCTTGAGCTGGTTAGAGCCCCATTCACCTTGGGCGCCACTCCACCTAGGTATCCTAGGATACCTACTTTAAAAGGGTGTTGCTACTAGGGGTCTGTTGAGACAGTTCCTTTCAGAGCTTATGCAAGAGCAAGCGGTAGCCCCTGTGTGACAGG